CAAGCTGCTGATTAATTCAAATATTTAGAAAATATATTAACATGGATATTAGAGCAATTTTTTTTGTCTTTAATATCCCACTCAAACTGATGGGAATTTAGACATTGATTTCAGTGGGAGCAGAAGAAGGCCCTAAGGTGATTTCAGATTAACAACCTGTTTACTCTTGTATGGCTCTGCTTGGTTGACTGAGCTCACTAAACCCCATGTTTTCCATAGTGTGGAAATAAAGGGCTAAATCCTAAAACAAGTATAATTTGGTGCTATCTTCACCAGCTCCTACAGAACACTGTTGATTTACGCCAGCTATGAAGCTGATCCCTGTTTAAATACAAAGTGTGACTTATCCTTTGGAGAACTGCATACAGCCTGTATTGTTAAAATCAGCTGACTTTCCAGAGGGATGTTTTCCATATTCCTGGGTATACCTCCAGCCAAAGTCAAGCAGACTTTTTCAATTTTTACTCCTCTCATTTTTTTTTCATTCATCTGTTGAAATTCTTGTCCCCAAGAAGTTCTTCAGCACTGACAGCATTTCTTCTTCATACTCTCGAAAACAGCAATGTGAGTCATGCTGTCATTTTTCATTAAGACTAAATGTAACCTTTAAACTTTTGGGAAACAGCAGTAAGATTTCTAAGTACAAACTCATGCTTTATTTGAATTGACATTAGTTGAAAAACATATATCCTGGCTGACACTTACAGCCTAGAGTCACCAAATTAATATATCTGTATTAATATATGGACAAAGACAGCAATAATTCCATCAGGGTCAGCTCCAACTTTAACAGAGAACACTGAGTTCAGTGATGGTGCAGAGCTGCACTAACCAGAAAAAAATAAATAAAAGAGTGCAACTGCAGTATGCCCCCCAATTTTCCATATAAGCAGGGAGGATGTACCCTCCTTACGCTGCAGTGGGTGCAAAACACCTCCCCTGTACGACAGCCCCAGTCTGTGCCCTGTGGCAGAGCTGCCTTTTACTTGGGACTTCACTGCGAATGCCTTAGAGACAAGCGTCTCGTTTGAGCCTTTCCACAGATCGCATTCTTCAACCATTATTAGCGATGTGTTCTTACCCTGCTTCCTATTGGGACAGCCCTCAATAGTTATTAGCCACTAAATCCCAGGTCTTACTTCCATCCTTATCCTTCTTGATTTACCAGTTCTGGCTGACAGCTTTTTACAGGCTCCCTGAAGGGAGTACCTCACCTGACAGAGAAGGGTATTTTCAACTTTAATTCTTTTCCTCCTCTTTGCTTACAGGTCCCATCTTTGTTATTAATGTAAATAACAGCAAAGCCTCAGAAACAGAACTCTATCAGAAAATTAGCAAAAGGCCTTTGCTCCTAGTACGCTAAATTAAGCTGCTTATATGTTCCCCTATAGTCACCAGTTTTTCCAAAGACAACGCATGCTGTTTAACAGCCTGGATTAATCTTGTCTACATTACCACGCTACGCATTCTCCCCACCAACTTTCCAAAATCCTTGGAGTCTATCCACACCTTTCCTGCTATCTGTCAGAGCATCAAGAGGCTGGTGTTTGCCACTGGATATCTGATGCTGCCAGTCCCCGTCACTCTACCTGTTTGATTTTCAAAACAAATGCTGTCACACTTTCTCTCTCCTGATCCTCCTGCTATGGGAAAGCTCCTCCTCATAAACATTTGGGAATATACCTTTAAATACCTCTTCAAAATCCTTGTTTAAAAACATCTTCCTTTATTGTGATGCCCACAAACCCCTTCACAACCATCCAACTGTTTCTGTGCTATGACGGTTGTGTCCCCTGCACGACTGAACCCAACTTCACGATTCCAGAGCATCCCTTTTTATACCAAGCCTGGCAAAACTGGGTCCTGAGATTTTTGACAAAATCTAAACAGTTTTTTTTACTATAGATCATGACACGGACTTCCACATCTTAGCTCAAAACCAGCTTGCTTCTTACTCTCCACATTAAAGGAAACCTGAAGAATTGTGAACAATATAATAAGCCGTAATTAAACACAATATTAGCGACTGTAATACCTAACTGTAAGGCAGATACCAGATGCAATCTGATAGCTGACTGTAGAATAGAAAGCACATAAGAAGAGTTTTCAAAAATTCAGAGACATTTGTTTTGCAGCTCTCTTGAAATGTGTATGTCTTTTAAATCTAAATTTAAATTATCAATCCAGGTTTAAAATTATGACTAAAAATGAAATCATATTCCAACTCTCCAGCCAGTATAGATTTTACATAAGCCCTTGATTTTTACATGTTGTTGGAACTAATTAAAATCCAAATTTAATTTAAAACAGTTTTTAAATAGTTCACAGTTAAAATAACAATTTCTGCAAATAAGACTGGTGTGTGGCAGCAGTATTAACTCACTCATGTCTGCAAAATGTGACAGCAGGGTGAGAAGAAACAGGGTGAAAATAAGAGTCCACACCAGCAGCTATAAGGCTGAAGGAGACAGATCTACCTGAAAGTTTGTCTGCATAGCAATAGGAAAAAAGGGAGCACAAACCAGAAGAATACCTAAATGGGGGTACTCCTCGCATATACTGATGAAATGCTCTTTGTAAAAGCAAATTAAATTTAAAAGCCTAACCTCAAATTTAAATAGACTTTTCTTAATATTGCCTTGGCTGACAAGAAAAGGTAGAAATGAAGTAGAAATCTTGTCTCAGTAAGAACTTACTCACACAGGAAGTCAAACGAACATCAGTTTGGCTGTAATACTGAAACAACGCAGTATTCTTATGACTATCAGAAACATTCCCATTAGGCTGGCTGACAATCCCAGAAATGTGATGTTGTCCATGACTGGAAACGGTCACTTACAGTAAGATTTAAAAGCATTAAAAAGTCATTGTCTTGTAAACTTATCACTCTATGCACGCAAATATTTATTTTCTGTTCTTTTCAAACTCAATAGATATATTTTTTCCTTGTTCTTCGGTTTCTGCAATGCTATCAAATTTGTCTCCCCAAATTCCTTCAGGGTGCTACATAAACCCTATGCCAGCTGACCCTCTTCATCACACCTCTCCTGCCCTTCCAACTTCTCCCTACATCTTCCTGAACTTACAGTCCTAGTTCTTATATTTAGTATTGGTTTTAAACCCATCCTTTCTCTTTCTTGTACTATTTTGCTTTCCCTTTTTCAGCTTCTTTTGAAGCCCATCTCATCACCATTGATCACAATTTTTCAGTAGCACACTTTCCTTCTTATAACTCTATCAAACTTGCTTTTCCTTCATTTCACCAACTCATTCGCTGTATATCACATGCTAAACTCATTCCTCTCTTATTACTAGCCCTAATTATGGGATGCCTCCATTATTCCTTTTATATATTACGTTCTCACCAAACACCAGCTCCTGAGTCACTGGCAAAGGATTTAGGGAGCAGACAGAGTGAGTGACTGCCTCCCCTCCACACATGGGTCATCAGTCTCATGGGAACAGTAGGTTTCGCTGGTTATGGCAGTACGTGCTCTCCCAAGTGCACCCACTGGTACCTGGGAATATTTTGTCCTGAGAGGGCTACTGCTGCACACCTTCCCCAACTGGCACTGACCTCCTTAAGTGACCTCACTGCAAAGTGACAATACACCATCCAAAGTGGAACACCATAACTCACCCTAAGTAACTAAACCTTATGATTGCATCTCACGCTTCAACAGGGATCTCCTCTATGAGTACGTGTCACAGCAAATTATTTAAATTTGACTTGACAATACTCTGTCGTTATTCACAATCAGATGAAATTTCAGCTACTTCTCAGCCGATCACTTGCTATTTTGGCCAATTCCTGTAGATTAACCATTATTGATCTCCATCATGATTGCTCTCCTTTGGTTTTGTCTTCTGCCATGCAACATACAGTTACACGACAACATTTCTTGCTTCATGAGTTTCTCTTCTCCACCAGCTTCTCCAGTACATTCTTTTGTCCAAGTGACTTTAGTTTGGACATCAGACGCAGCTCGTCTCTACAAAATACAGGGCAGTTGATATCTGCCCTTGTTCCTGAAGTTCATGACCAACTCCTGTGATGGGCAATGAGGAATCTCGCCTTGTCATATAAAAAACTACATGCAAAAGAACCCAAGAACAGGACAAATAACTCCCTGAGGAAGTTATGGATTACAATCAGTAAACAGATGGATCATTAACTGGTCAACCATTTCATTGTCTGCATGGCAGAGACAATGAGACGTGCCTACTGCAAAGCTGGGTAACACAACCGGAAAAAAAAGAACACCCAACTCACTGGCAGAATAAAAAAACCTCTTTTGCAGAGTCACTAACTCAAAATGGAGTAATTAAAACTCCCACTTCAGAAGCTACCACTTTGAAGTGGAACTGCAGATCTCTATTTGCATATTAGGAACGCTTGTGTAGATTTCCATGCTCCATCTGGGCACGAGATTGCAGATGAGGATGACAAGGCTCTGAATTAGGACAAACCAAATGGATGAGG